AACTGAACTTTCAACTGAAAATAAAAAACGAAGCATGCTTCTTTTTTCTTTTTATTTTGTCAATTATTGTCAATACAAACAAATATATTCAAATATTTCACATTAAATAAACAATATAAAATTATATAAACTATAAATAAAAGTTTAATTTTAATTTTCTCTTTCCAATTATTTTAATAGTAAGTATTCAAAAAAAAAGAAAAGCTTTTCTCATTAGTTAAATGTTATTAGTAATTATTATTATTACTTATTATTATTATTTAATATTATAATTATTATTATTATTACTATTATTGTTATTATTATTTATTATTATTATAGTTTACTAAAATTATTATTAATTCTATTATTAGTTACATATGTATGGTGTTGAATATCATCGTAGTGATTTAATAGCCGACAAAAGAAAGTTTATTGAGGGCGTTTATCAGGTACTATTCAGTTTTTACAGTGAAAAATGAAATTTCAGCTCAATTTGAACTATTTAGTAGGAGTTTTGTTTTATTTTAGATTAGAGCGATTCACTATGAAATTCAATAAATGAAGTGGTGGAGCATAGGATCGTTTTATGAACATCCTCACCTCATGTTGCTAGCACCTGTTGTGCGTATACCATAAACTGTAACCGTAAATACCTAATGATAAACCTAAGCATAAGTTTAACGGTGAAAACCTAGGAAGATGGCGAGTTTGCTTTGCTAGAACTAAGCTTCACTCGTGGTGTTATATCTTCAAATAATAAACATCAGTATGAGTATGCTCAAAAACGATCGTATGCTCACTTCACTTATTGAATTTCATAGTGAATCGCTCTAATCTAAAATAAAACAAAACTCCTACTAAATAGTTCAAATTGAGCTGAAACTTTATTTTTCACTGAAAAATTTGAATAGTCATCTGATAAGTGCCATCAGTAATCTTTCTTTCGTCGGCTATTAAATCACTATCGATGATATGCAACACCACGAGTGAAGCTCAGTTTTCTTCCTAGGTTTTCATCGTTAAACTTATGCTTAGGTTTATCATTAGTATTTACGGTTACAGTTTATGGTATACGCATAACAGGTGCTAGCAACATGAGGTGAGGATGTTCATAAAACGATCCTATGCTCACTCCATTTATCGAATTTCATAGTGAATCGGTCCAATCCTGCAATACATAACTATCATCATACATTATGAGGACGTTTCACAACACAAATTAAATACCAGTAATGATAAAAGAACACTCCAAGATCCATTTTAATATCTGTTAATCAAAGTATGAATTGGCAATCATCAGAACATGTGATAGGTGTAAGGAATGATACTGGTGCGATGTGAGAATTTACAAACAATTTTGCTAAACTCTACCATAAAATGTCAAATTTTAATAGCGCAAATAGTTAGTAACTAATCTTCCCACTCTCGATAGTACTCGCTAACTAGCATGATCATCGAGAATCTTCTAATATCATAATTTCCAGCAGCTTCAATTTTGACAATTGAACCTGCTGATGGTTCCTATTTTGAATAAATTAATAATCAAAGCTTTCGAAAACATCTCTTAACTTATGATTTTTTTAATAAAAAATCGCATTGCTTTAATACCGGCCGGCATTATAAAGTTGTCGAACCTAACATAGAAGAATGAGAGGTCTTTGTTCTGTTTGCTGTTTAAAATTGAAAAAGAATGAATGATAAGACATAGGAAGAGGAATAAATGATAAAATGAAATATCTCGAAGAACACTAAATAAGTTATTGAAGAAATATTTCATCAACAAATGATTTCTCTATGATAATGATAAGCTGTTGCAATACAATAAAATATAGAAATTCGTCACAAATCGTTCCAAGAAGCGCACTCAATTAGCTAATGAAAGATTAGACAAGAAGTAAAACTGAATTTAAGATATATCAAAAGATGCACACATATGCTTAGTGGAAGATATATCTATCATTAATGTCGTACTGGTGGTTCACAACGATGTTTTTCTTTCTATCCACTACGCTTTTAACAATTAACAAAGTGTAAGTAAGTAATTGATAACTTATAAAAGAAAAAAATTTTGCTCCTACAAAAGGATTTGTGTACTCCTCGCTTCCTTTGGCTAAAGGAAGTAGAAGGAAGTGTATCCAACGAGAATATAAAATGTACGTTTTAGAATGATGAAAGGGGTAATCACAGCTGACATTGAAAAGGCATTCTCTCCTTAACTTATTGGTAGTTTTACCTGGATTACGAACATCATAATGTGGCAGGTAACCTGAAAGACACTAAAAATGTTTCAATTGTTTGATTGCTATATATACATATATGTGATATGGCTATATGTGTGACTGTTTCCGCATCTGTGCCTTTGCACAACGTTCCACAGAGAGATTTTCTGTGTTTCTCTTTGTTTTACTTTATTTTTCAAAAAGAGTATAAACGCTAAGAAAGAATAATGCTAATCAACACAGTGATGATTGAGTCTAAACTGGGGTTTAGCATGGGAGTGGAGTATCACTACGATGATATGAAGTATATATAACTAATAATGGAATTAATAGTTTACTACAGTTACTTTAACAAGAATACTTTAATTAATGTTATAAAATGATTGATAATATATAAGATAAAACTATTATACTGCGTATTTTCAATATCTATTATTTAAATATTATCTATTATCACTTTTCCAAAACAACATTCTTTCTGAATTATGATTAGATACATCTAAATACATGTTAAATATCAAAGAAATGTTACTTTATCACATTCAGACAAATTTTGCAACAATTATAAAAATAATTGCAAGATGTTAATATTAATAAAGTTTAAAATCAAGTTAAAATATTTAGGTACTGGCTGTAGCGATTGAAAAGTAAATTAACTTTCTTCTTAAAGTCTAACATCTATGATATGCATTAAATTTAAATAGACCATCTATACAATTCTAATTTATTACATATTTTTCCAAGATTATCCCAAAATTTGGGCATTTGTAAATGTTTGGGTAAATATGTGATTTATCAATCTTTTTTATTTGCACTTTAATAAAGTCATTTATTTGATTGTGTTATTGTTTATTAGAAATGCATGTATATAAATATATATTATATATGCGCCGAAAAGTCTGCTAGAAAAGCCTTCAGAAGATAAATTTTGTTTGATACACATTGCTTTAACTATCTTCAACAAAAACCCTTTAAAAATTTTTTTACATTTTTAATGACGGTGAAAACTACAAAAAAAAAAAAAAAACAAAGTGATAAATACGGACAAGTTCGAGACACTGATCAAATTAATCATTTAAGCGGAAAAAAAGAACCAAATTCACCAGAAAAATCAATTTTTTGTATATTTAAGAAATCGGTATTACATAAAGGTAGATGCATTTTAAAATGTATTGCGAAAAGCACAGGTGTAATACAAACAATAAGCATGACATTTAATAAAGTGATCTTTAATTATAAATGCTAGGTGAGGAATATGAAATTTCGAAGTGGAATTAATAAGTATTTTTCACTTCTTTTTTTTTTTTTTGTAATTTTCACCGTCATTCCCCGATCATTGCTGTATTCTGAATTATATCATACAGTGAATTTAAATTGTATTAATATCAAACCTGATATTACAATTTCGGTTTTAACAGTATTATTTTATCAATCGTGATATCATGAAGAGTGTAAAAAACATAAATGATACCATTTATATATATATATATATATATAATTCATCACATTAATGTATAATTCATTAATTGTAGAAAAAAAAAAACATTAAAAATGATGGAACTCAGAAAAAAAAAACTGCATAACAAAACCGTAATCAATTAATTAATTAGACACGACAAAAACATAATGGTTTGCCTTGTTGATAATTTAACGTCAATAAATGACACTGATAAGAACATACAATCCTTTCCTTTTTTTTTTCTTTTCTTAATATATTATATAAAGGCTTAAAAACTAAGCGAATACTGTAACAACAAGTAATATGCAAATCAAAAGCCTTATTGTATGAGCATTCTCGTAATATTTCTAGCAAGTAAAAGATACCAAAAAAAAAAAAAACAATAAATAAGAAATAAAAAACGACAAGAAATGAAGCTGCTGTTAGTAGTGAAGAAAAAAAAAAGAGAAAAACATACAATATTGTAATAACAGCAAGAAAATAATATATCACAACTGTTTGGTGACAAAAGAAAAAAAAATTCTGTACAACGCTGTGAAATATTATACTATTTACAAACATTCAATTAATCCAAATTTGATGACCATATAAGAGAGGGAGAGAAAAAAAAGGAAAATACTGGGTATTTTAGAGAGAGAAAAACACTCGATAAATCGAAGAAAAAAAAAATTTATTGCATATAATGCAACTAATTTATATTATATATAATATTAAAAAGAATACAATAAATAATATCCACATTCACTAAAAATTCACTATAAACAATATTATTATCTAAGCACTTATTCTCTTCATCACAGTAGTTCTACAACAACTGCCCTGAAATTAAGAATGAAACGATTGTAATGTGTATCGTAAAAGTATTATTTTACAATTGCTAAATCCCGCAATCATCTTACAAAAAATCATGAATCATCGATGCCTGTTTTAAAAATTAAATGGAAAATTAGAACTGGGAAAGTGCAAAAATTACATAAAATATACATATATATGTATATATATATATATAAATAAAAATAAATAAATATACATATATATATAAACCAAAGCAGATGCATCCCGATATGGATAATAGAGCATGACCATATATCACCTAAAATCGACTATAAACTTTAAAGAACTATACGGCCCAGTGTCAAGCTATCTCGTCTAAGTCACTTCGTAATTCCAATCAATATTTTACATTTCAGGAAAAGATTTTCATTAGCACGAAACTTTTTATTACTCGATATATAAGCAACACTATTCAAATACATCTATTACTAATATAAATATTATATGAACTACGTTAATTTCTACCAATACCATCATTTCATGATCTAAAGTTTTCTCAAAAATTATCAGTTACACAATTGGCGTAATCGCTTCTGCCTTGATAATTTATCAGATGAACAACTTATAGCTTTTAGTGGTTCTCGATTTTTGCCCGCTATCGGCAAATGTTGTAGAACTACTTCTAAATTAGCTATTCGTTGCCGTCTTTTATCGACTGCAGAATTATTATGTCCCGCAGCATTAAAACGAGAAAAATTCTTCATATCTTGTTCCATTACAAAAGGCTGAAATTAAAAATATATCATGCATAACATATATATGGACTCCTCAAAGCTCCAAAACTTATAAAACTGTATTTAAAATATATATATATATATATATATATATATATATATATATATATATGAAAAGAAAAAAAAAAGATAGCAGGTATATGAAAAATTAAACCTGATCAAAATATCAAAAATATTTTAATCATTACCGTAAATGTTCTGGAAATGGTCAATTTTTGTTTGAAGTATGAAAAAATGAGTGGATCGGTATTAATATAGTATTGATTTTTCGCAGGAATTTTCTCGAATTTCGAATTTTTACCTGTTTGGTATTCTACAAAATACACATCCTGAAAAAATAACAAATGCTTCAAATGTCACGCAACTGTACTTAATAAACTACTTAATAAACCACACTGGACTCAATTCTTAGCATCACTTTTAAACACACTATCGATATTTAAGGATAAATCAAATTAGCTAACTCAGTGCTCAATTCCTAAGCCCATCAACAAACAATGCCTGCAAAATATATTTCAATCCGAAACCGATTCCCTTCTGAAGTTCGCTAAAACAAATCTGTTGAAACAAACCACTTCTTCATAATAAGGTAATTTTGGCCTTCCAAGACAATAAATATTTGATTCCAGAGCTAAACAACGTCCAACAACAGCATCAAGTGGAAGTGTATCATACATACTGGTGGCAAAAAGCTGAAATGAAATTTTACCAAAAATTATTTATAAAACTTAGTACACTAACATTTGGTACAAGTATCAGTTACACATAAATATATTTTTTTTTAATTCAAATTACTAGCAAAAGAAGCAAACAACTCCTACTAAATAGTCATTTTAACCTCATCTTCAGACTTATCAGCGCATGAAAATTAGAATTATCTGAAAATTACAATAGTGCCAAAGATATGATAACATCAAGCAATGATAATCAACACACCACAATCAAACACATAGAAAAATTCACCTCTTTTTCGTGAAATAATTTTCCCGGTTCACAATAAACCTCATGTGGCCGTGCGTAATAAAAACCAAAAACGAATTTATGCCCTTCGAATGAAAAAAGACGCTCAATCCGGAAGCATCTAACATTTTTACGATGAAATGATACTGGACAGAATTTTTTATCAGTATCTTCTAGTTCAGCAGGAGTTAAAGCTGTCACAGGAATACTCTGTTTCGTGCATTCAACAAGTCGACGCAGTATCAATTTATGCTAAAATTACGAAATGAAACCGATGAATTGGGAAAGACATTATTTTTAAATCATATGAAAAACTGCTTGAGTTTTTTTTTTTTTTTTCATTTTTTTTATTTCAATTTACTTTACAGAAGAATAATGAATAAAAATAGAAACTTAATATTTCTCAAAACAATTAAATTGTCTTACATTGTCGTTTTCAAGTTTTTGTACATACACCGTTTCGCTGAGACGCACTTGCAAATGCCGTGAATTCACCAATGTCCGATAATAAGTACAGTTCTTGAAATTATAATCAGGCTGAATACGTAACGGAATTGATGCCGTTGACGTGCGTTGAACATTTCGGACGCAAATGATACAAATGAAATCCTAAAGCAAATTTAGTTATATTTCGAAATGAAAGATTAGATTTCAGAAAAAGTAGCATGAGATCCAAAATATGACTTAAATTCTAAAAATTGATTTTTTGGCTAAACAAGACTTAAGACTGTTTAAAATCCTAAAATCGTTTAAAATCCCACTTAGTATATATAACATAGTAAAACATTACTTTAACTTCATCAAGAGGTTTTTCATCGAAAACACATTCTTCGTGAAGCCAAAAATTACACTTTTCACACTGTATCATAGGTCCATCATCATCTGTAGTACCACATATGCAACGCACACAATCGGTATTAGCATCAGCTACGCCAAGATACGAAAAACTATCATGATCGTAAGAACCAACCGGAATCTATAACCGAAAATAGTACATTCAAGATTACTCAAGAAATACTGACATTCAAGACTACAAAACATTTTCAAAATATTCCCACAAATCCGAAAAATTTCTAAGGAAACCTAAAGTTTCCAAAAAAAAATTTTAGTTTAAGCACCATAATCAAAATGAAACTATGAATGAGAGGAACACAAGCATATACCGGAGAATCGAGGTATCTGTAATCAATTGCTGCTGTCAAGGTTCGATGAGGTCCAGTTTTAGATTTTTTTGGGCTTTGATAATGCTGTTGATCATTTTTGCTAAATTTTCTCACTTGACGCGAATGTTTTGCTTTTATCAAAGCAAAGCTTGCGCGCCAAATATCTAGCTTCCGCCGATCCAAAGATCTGCCAGATAAACCAAGCAAACTATTAATTTTTATTTCGATGGATTCCAGCATTTCCAAGGCTGTCCTTGTAGAAGCATGCTTCTCACGAAGTTCAGTGATAAAGCTCGACAATTTCTTGAGTTCCTTTTTGGATGCTAATTTAGAATCATTAAACTTCATGAGTACTTCTTGACAAAGCTGTTCCAGCTGTTCATCGCTGTTACTCGCTGCAGGAATAGTCAAAGATGTTTTTGAGGTCCTGCTTCGGCTTCGGGATCGAGATTCTACAAAACAAAAACAGAAGTGTTTTCCGCTTAACATAGCTAAAAAAAAATATTCTAGATTGCTGCACTTCTTTTTGAATTAATCGTAACAGTATAAGTCAGTCATCTATTTAAAATTATTACAAAGCATATTCAATGGAAGATCAAGTTATTTTGCTAACATTACTGTTTAGATTAGTCTTTTTATACTATCTCAACAGAAATAATCAGTCTATCTCACTGGAATATATTCCATCATATTTTGAATGTCACATTCATTCACATTACCGTGTGACGAGAATTTGTGAATAACAGATAAGGATTTAAAAAAAAAAAGAATCTGATAATATTAATAATAACCTTCTCTAAATTTTTTCAGTTTAAATGCTGCCGATTTTCGTACATTTCGCAGTAGAAGCAAACGTGCTTTACGTACTAATTCCTTCTCTCGATTATTCATTATAACATTTTTATTGAGAAAATGTCGACAATTTGGCGCACCACAACAACAAATCGTTACATCATCAAACTCAAACGCATCCCAGTTATAATCATACGTAAGCTCTTCACCTTCATGAATACTACGCAGAGCAAATAAGCCAATTCGATAATGGCCATTAACAGACCTACAAATTACGCCACTTCAATAAATCTTTATAATTACCAAATAAAAAGAGACTTCGAAAAATTTAACTTCATACAATGTAAACAATGTGAATTTTAACTTCACTATTTACTGAATCGTCTAGAATTTCGGTACTGTAATTAAAATCTGAACCCTAAAAGAACAGAACAACATTAACTTTTAATAGAGTATCCATAACATTTTTAATAGTTTTTAACTTTTAATGGAGCATCACTAACAATATATAACTTACCAACGCTGCATTTCACAGTTTGGAGCACATGAATGATTAATGAATCGTGCAATATTTCCTTTATGATAGGCATCAACAACAAAACCAGGACAAAGGTTTAATGCGTAATGATTCTTTTGATAACGATAATCAGTACGACTTCGAATATTAAACGTTTCCATTGAAACAACTTCACCGATATATTCACATATGAACTGTAAAATTTTCAACAATGAATAGTATGGATGATATGGGTAAGATATAAGATTAAAACATTATTTTAGATGCATCATAGAATAAATAATGATGTAATGTATAAAGGGGCTAATACAGATGTTGAAAAAATTGTCCCAATCAATTTAAACTGATAATGAATAGTAATATCGATGGAGAAGGAATGCGGTGGAATGCAATTCGATTAGTTAATTGTGAGAAGGAAATACGAAAGTCCTAACTCAAAGGGGTTCATAAATCTATTTCATTTAATTAGAAATGCTTTCAACATAAAACTAAAAGAATGCAATCTTTTTGAATGTTATTACAAAAGTATAAAAAAACTTTAAGAAACATTAAAAGAAAATCTCTGTGTAACAAATTGACTTTTCGTAATACATCATATCAGTATTTCCCTTCACAGTCCTTTCATAATGTTTAAATGAGTGGTAAACAATCAATATTGATGTGTTAACTAATCATTTAACAAAATGTCAAATGAGATTTGTCACCATAACTGCGTCACAGATGCCTATCAACGACGAACAAGAAGGTCAGATAAGATTGAACGAGTACTTACTTGTCCTTTATCAATATTAACATCCGTTTTCACACCAATACCACAGCCATTCATCGTTTGAAAAGTTCGCAAACGTTCAACACATTCACGCCGAAATAATCGTTTATTAGTACAGAGGGCATTACGTGGACAGCTATTACCACATTCCATCAATACTACCCTGGAATAAAAGCAAAATAGTAAAGATAAGATACCTAATAAAATGGAAAATCTATATCCATGTATTAAGTATAGGAATAAGAAAACTTTTAAAAATAAATACACTCAAAAATTTACCTATTCAAACATTCATCACTTTCACCGCAACATCCAGAGGAACAAGAGCATTGCATCTGTTCAATTTTTGGATAAGCATCAACGATCACATCTTCAACCACATCAAATAATTCGATCCAATTCAAGGAAAGCAAACAATTTTTGGGATTATAACAAAAGTTATACTAGAATTAATAACTGCCGCTTTGTTGTCATTATGTAATAATACACTAACGAATAAACCAAAGTAAAAAGAAAATGCAAGTCATAAATCACAGTCCAACTGAGCCGCAAAAATGTGAGATGAAAGAAAATAACTAACTTTGCTTCAACTTGATGTAATCACCAGATGAACGACGACTTCTTTCACATACTTTTGAAGATGATGGAGTAGCACTAAAAAATGAAATGACTGAAATACACTCAAAGCTTGAAAACGATGGATTGAAATAGCATTTAAGTTAAAAAACAATGCATTGAAATAGCACTTAAGTTGGAAAACAATGTATTGAAATAGCACTTAAGTTGGAAAACATCAATTTGCAAAGTGCAAGATTTCTTTCATCATTCAAGTGCGGGTATACATCAAACTTATACATCAATTGCTGCTAGAACATAAAGACCGCAATGATCAACAGCTGATATCGTCATTGCAATATCAAAAAATTAGATTTCAAAAATAGATTCATGAATTTAAATAGATTAAGCAAATATTTTTGGTTCAAAAAGATCACTCTCACCTCGTAACAAAAGAATCACTCTTTCGTGATTTCGGTAACTTTTTATCTCCAATACGGCAAGTTTTCCAAGAGTTTTTTTCTCGTTTTGATTTCTCAAGTCGATTTCTTTCAACTAACCTAAAAAAAGCGGAGCAAATGCAAATGACGAAGAATAGTAAAATCATAAATAATTTTCCTAGTTTTGTCGCAAATGACGAGAACTTTTCCACTATGCGTCTATTTAAGTCCATTTTAATCATGCAAATATGCTGAGCCAACAATAAATTATTAAGTTAGCAGCTTATAAATGCTGCTTTCTTGATATATAATTTCTTTAAAAGTTCCAAAACATCAAATGTTTTTTTTTTTTTTCACGACAAATGTATATAGTGCAAATGCCTTACATAACTTTAGTATCTTAATTCTAATCTGAATTTTAATTCGCAAACCTTCGAGTAACTTCTTTCCAATTCAAACGATACCACGGCAAATCCCAGTGCTTTCTATCACCTAGATTCAGTTCCAAATTGGCAAATTGTCTGCTAATTTGTTCAATGACGATTTTCAGTTGTTCATTTATTTTACGCTTCATATCCAAACGAAACTCTTTAATCTGATCCACCATATTCTCATTCGAGCATTCTAAATGCGTATTCGGCTCTCCAGTAGTGACATTCCCAGTAAATTCCTGACATCCTTCACGAACTTCTTCATCAATTACTTTTTTCTCTAATTTACTAGTAGGAAACTTCTTCTCAGCTACAAACTTCTTTCTCCCTTCCTGTTTCTTTCGCCCTTTGCACTTCCTTTCTTCTGTTTGCAGTTCAGCTTTCAAATTTTTGGATGATAAAGGTATTTGAATTCGTCTTTTCAAACTATTTATATTTGTCTTTTCACCGGAAACTAATTCAGTAACATTCGAACACCCTATGACAATATTATTTGATCTCTGCCTCACTTCTCGCCGTTTCATCTTCCGTGCTGGCTTCTCGGAAACCGATTCTCTACACTCTTCTACTTTACGTTTTCGAGTCTTTCGCTTTCTCTCTGAGAACCCGCTTCTATGTTCTGGAATTTTATCTTCAATACTCTCATCCTCACATAGTCGTGCTTTTGATACGGCAACAAATTCGGTTTGCACTGCAACTTCATTTTCCGATTCTTTAATTTCCATTAATTCATTGTCACCGGTAGTAGTAACATTAATAGTAGTGGTAATCTTTGTAGTAGGAACTACTGTGACAGAAGTAACAGTATCGGCAGTTGTGATCACTGTACTACTGTTATCAAGATTATTAGTGATAGTAGCAGTAGTGCTAACAGTACTACTGTCAACTACAGTGCTATCATCAGTAGCAACTTTTGATTGGATGGCACTAGCAAATTGCTTGCGTTGTTGCGCATCCATATGTGACATTAGCTGTTCCACCAAATCTGTAACATTCATAGCTGGAGTAATTGCTATTTTCGTGATGTCATCATCTGATTCTTTCTTTGTATTTTCCTGAGACTCAGCTTTAGCTTCATGATTCTGCTCGGAACTTTTTTCCACATCTTCCAGTAATGCATCCACTTCAGTAGTCTTCTGGATATCACTATCAGATGATGGTGTTTTTGTCATAAATAGCGGTGGCTCTTCTGTTAATGGTGAGCCACTTTCCGCTTCCATTTGATGGAATGGTATTAAACGTGGCATGTCGGAATAATCATCGGAATAATTCGTTGAATCTGTTGTTGATTCCTTACTTTTATTCACTATAGCAGTTATCTGAAAATTGCAGAAATTTTAACATACCAATATTATGGTAATAAAGATGATACTACCGGACTAGTTCCTTCATTCAGACTTCATCTTTCGTACAGATTCCGGATGATCTTTACGTCAATTTCTTAAACAGCTATCAATCGCAAAAAATCTAGAATGCGTAATAAGAATGCTCCCGTATAAAAGTTTTTTCATAAACTTCTACAGAAATGTTTTTTAACGGATACCGGAGGAGGAGGAGGAATGTACGGCGTAGGTGGAGTAAACGGATCGGCTGGTGGCGAATCGGCAATACTTTGAATTCCACTATCCGCCGTAGGAGAACAATCCGCGACAACATTGTAACTATGTTGATAATGACAAGATGACATTCCACCATTTAAATCAACCTAGAAACAAGCACTGTTATGAATCTTTGAGTTTTTTTTTTAAAATACATGCTAAGATAAATCAAAATACGAATAAAATAGGAGACCGCTCAGGTAGCAGATATAAAAGAAAAATTTTATTTACAGCATAACCAACCAAAGCAATATACTAACTTAAGGCACAAATAACAAAATACATAAAATGATAAACAACGAATATGATCCGGCAAAATCTTGGTCTAAATATGATGGTAAACAGCAAACCTGCATATGTGTTTGAAAGTTAGACTGCACCGGTGTACATGTCGAAGAATCTTGAATGTGCATCATCGCCGGAGAACTATTATGATACTGATGCTGCTGTGGTGGTGGAGGAGGTGTCATGTTATGCTGCTGTGCATAATGATTAGAAGTTATCATTACTGTTTTATCAGTTATAAGCTGTGATTGTTGTTGATGCATAATTGGAGGATTCAAATCAACATGATGTGCCATTTCCTATAAGTATTTAGTTGAAAACACAACGCAGAAAAAGAGACTAAGCACAAGAGACCATGAAACAAATTATTTAGCGAAAGAAAAGACAAAGGAAATGTCAACATTTGAAAATAAATACTACAAAACCTATAAAAATATATCTATTCAGTTTCAACTCTGTTTAATAAACAATATCTAACTTTGAATACTACTTTTTAGTGTTTTATAGCTGGAAATTTCATGAATGCACTCCCTTACTGATTAGAATTAAGTTCATCGACACAGTGCCAACTTAATCAACGAATGAATTAAGCAAAATGATCTGATTCGTTGGAATTATTCATTTTTATTAAGAGTTCTACATACAGTTGTGTTCTGTGTGCAAACCGTAAGATTAATTGGAACATATGCTCTATTGAACAACCAAATAATTTTAAACAGACAGAAATACAAAACAGATTTTTTTAAAAAAAAATGAGAAGAATCAGCAACTACCTGAAGCAAATCAATATCCGATTTGCCGGATGAAAAGCTTTGTGTTATGGAAGAAATGGGTGGAAAAAACGAAGTAGTGCTTGTACACGGCATTTGACAATCATATGATTCATTTACGTTCATTTGTGGTACAACCTGAAATTACCAAAATAATTTTATTTCTTTCATTTTATAAAGAAACTGCGAAATGTAAAAGTAATAAATGAAGTATATGTGACTGGAGCAGATATGAATAAAATCACGGATTTTTTTGGTTTTTGCAAACGCAATAATATGCTATAAACTGACATTCAAAAGATACCTGTGAAGGCGATGGTGACTCGAAGGAACCGCTACTAACATTCGAGCGTGGTGCCGCGTGTAACCAGCCATCAGTACCACAATGTTGCGGTTGCTGTTGCTGCTGCTGAAGATGATGATGTTGTATAGGTGGTGGTGGTGGTGGTTTTGGAGGTGCTGGATGATGCACTGATTGCGGAGCTGGTGGTGCCAAATGTGCCGAGGTACAAGGTGTTGGCTGTATTCGTAGAACGCTTGGAACTACCAGTTTTGGTGCGGCTGTTGAAAGAGTAGCTGATTGCTTCTGAATAGTTGCAGGTACCACATGCAAGGATTTTGGAATACTACCTGATGGTACCGCTACTGAAGCTGTACTATTTACTGATGCATTTGAAATCTAAATTAATAATATTTAGATATTGCACTTAAAAATTATCCGACAGCAACATCGTCGGTTCAAGTTTTAGTCAAAAAATTTCAAGCATTTCGTTTCTATAATACTAACCAATTGTCTTTCTATTTCTTACACTAATGAAAATAAGACCTAAACGTTCACGTAACGTTAACATATAAGTATGTTTCTAAAAAAAATAAAAAGACATGAAGCACTACATGCATAATGGTAATGTTTACAATTAAGATATACAAACATCCAATAATCTTCGTCGCGCACTATTAAATGACGTGTTTACTCAGTTTAAAATCATTTCTTAATCCTTAGTCTTCAAAGATTTAGTAAACATTTTCTTTATAAAAACGTGCCACTATTTTGTTCATTTTCAAAACCAAAAAAAAAAAAAGCTTTGCTCTTTTCTTGCTTTTTTTTTCAATTTTAAACTAACAAATATTTCTTTTACATATCGTTGCCTATGTAATTAAAATAGCTCCAACTGACCAATATATTATATGACTTTTCATAATAATTTCTATACGAAATACCTTATTCCATAATTATTTCTATACTAAATGCTTTATGTAATAATGTGTATAAAAAGATAAAAAATGTTGTTCAGATATCTTTTGTTTTGCCTTTTTTTTTTTTTTAATTCTAAAAAATTAAAAATTTTCGAAAAAAAAAAAAAAAAACTACGATAAACAAACCGTTTGACCGGTAGCATTACCGGTCGATGAGGTTGATGGTCGAATAAGAAAGCCAATAGTACAATAAGATGAACTATTGCCACCATTGGTTGCACTACGAAGTACACACGGTACAGCTTCCAGTCCCATTCTATTGTTGTCGTAAGATAAACATCAACTTTTACATATCGTTGTTTACTGCAACTGATCAATATATCATATAAAATTATATTTTCAAATTTTCAAAAATCCGATCAATTTCAACATTTTGCGCTCAATTTGATATAATAAATATACTAATATGTTAAAATTATATAAAGAATACATACATTATTTCATGGAAAAAATATGACGAAAATAAAATACAAAAAAAAAAAAGAAAAAATACACACACACAAAAAAAAGTATCAAAAACATTCACATCGATCAAAATCTTTAAAAAAAAAAAAAAGAAACTGTACACATTTTATTAAAATTTAATCAAATCAGATAAAACAAAAAAGTGTGATATATATATGAGAAAATTTATATTAAAAACAGTTCTACCTAATAAAAAATGGCTTTTATCATAAACACATTTTCCTAATTACTATTTTTCTCTTTAACAATAATCATTTTTTTTTTTTAAAATAACGAAAAAAGAAAAAGAAAATATTTATTTATCATTATCAAATAATAAAATGATAAGCCATGAATATCTAGAAAAAGTGTAAAAAATTCTTTTTCTTCATTTGTTTTTGAATATATATTGAATAATCATAAAAATTATGAAAATTTTCTTTATTCATATTTTTTAGAAACATTTAATTTTAATATTTATATATTTAATACATCCAATTAATTATTAAAATCTATGCATATAAATCATGATATGGTAAGTATGAGATGAATATAAGTAAAAAGATAAAAAATGAACAAATTTCAGGAAAGAGAAAAAACTAAAACAAATTTTGCATTGATAAATTATGATGAAATTATTATAATTACTTTCATTGTTAACATTAAATTATTTTACATTGTTGCAAAAATTATTAGTTCTGAATTTATTATCATTGCTATCATTACCTGCAATTCATTCATCTATGCATCATTACAAATTATCGTTATCAGTTGTTATCACTGCTGTTAAACATGCTTTATTTCGATAGTATTCTATAATTATCACTCATTAATGTTATTAGTATTATCGTTTAATGCGACCAATTGTGCTAATCAATTACATTTTGGGAAAAAAAAATTTATTATTTATGTTATTGTTAAAATCACTTTTTAAAATAACTCAATTCATAAAGTTTATATTATACTTTAATTTAACGCTTTAACATTGTTAACAGAGGAAAATAGATTATTAAGCGTAAACGAAGCGTTCATCAATGAGTAAACAAGCGGAAAAAAACCTATAACATTCTTTTTTTTTTTTTCTCAGTGAAAAAGTAATAAGTTGACAGTGTTGTAGACAAATAAAGCTGAGTAAACAAGTGAAAAAGTAAACAAAACTATGTGTTTATTTAATTTGTGAACAATGAAAGCTAATCACAAATTTGATAAAATTTGATGCATTAGCTTATTCATTCACTTCATTTGCACTTCTTTGTAAACATAATATTTAACAAAAAATTGATTATCACAAATACATTTTGCTTCATCAAATAGCCTCACTGATAAGCTTCATTTGCTTATCATTGATTTAACAATTATCATTCGTAAAAAAAGTATATGAAAAAAATGAATAATTTACGAACGAATAAAAATAAGTGCATCTTATTTAAAAAATAATTTCAACCAATTATTTAGTGACTGCAAATTGATGAGAAATTCTTACGTAATAATTTACCTTTGTAATTTCTCAGTCAACTATATGCAACAATACATATTAATAATAATGACAAATAACAATGAAACTAACTAGTTCGTTTAGAATAACAACAATTATAATAAACTGACATTATTAATCGGGTTACACCATAATTAAAGATTAAATGTTGGATAAATATGATCAATCAAAAAATAAACTAAAAAATCTCTGTGATAAACATCATTGCTATTTCTGTCTAATATAATTATCATAATGATAACAGGAACAAAAAAGAAAAAAAAATACTGATAACGTAAATAAAATCTAACTGATTAATAATTAATGCTAACACTGATACTCATGAATGTACTGATTAAGCTGATAAAAACAATGCCATTAATGAATAGATAATAAAGATAAATACTAATTACAATCATTGAAATGATAATAACTTAATAAGATGCTGCTATCTAGTAAAAGCAAATAATTGCAAAAATGCAACGATAAACAATTATAATATTAAAACTAATAATAGTATTTATAATAATAACAATAATAATAGTAATAGTTCTATTAGTAATAATAATAATAATAATAATAATAATGATAATAATAGTAATAATAATAGTGGTAATAACAATGAATGAATAAACAAATGGTAATAATATTTAGATTGTATATTTGCGAGAGGTGCTGAGGTGCTAAGTGGACATTATTGGTTAAAAAGAAAAGGATGACAAAGAGGAGAGGAGGTAGAAAGGTACGAGAGAGAGAGAGAGAGAGAGAGAGGGAGGGAGAGGGAGAGAGAGAGAGATTTGATGAAGAAGGGACGCGCGAGTCGCTCTCAAATATAAT